GGTCAATGCAATCTGCCCTGTATGCTGCTAAGTTCTCAACTACTTTATTCTTGGACTTGACTGCCTTCAGTTTGCGCTCTGTAAATTAAAATACAGTTTATAAGTTTTTTTGCATATTACAAAATAAAATATATGTTTAGAAACACTAAAATAATTTACCAAGAAAAGGGTAGAGTAAAACGAAAATTTTATGAATAAAGGAAATTGTAGTGTGCGTACGTTCGACCTTCGAACAGTAGCGGCGTAACAGCACGGTGCGCGTCGGGTAGTGAATGTGGCCGCCGGTCTATTTGACACTCAATATATTTCGCAACCGCCGCACTCAGCACTGCCCCACATTAAGTTACATTGTGAAACAAAACAACATCTAACCAATCAAATGTCGTTATAACACGATTAGAACTTGAACTCATTATCAATTACCTAAAATTGCGAGATACTGTTCAGAATCGGATAGCTTCTCTGATACGGAAGTTGGTTGAAAATTATCTTCAAACTCTGATAGAACCTCAGAATTCCCAATTTCACTGCCCCAAGGATCCATCAAACTCTGTAAATAATACGCAAAAGAATTTTATTACAATAATATTTACTTACTAAAAGCACGACAGTAACAGGCTATTAAACTAAGAAAACTATTTGTTAAAAACTTACTCAAACATAGGCTGGACGCCTATTGGGTAGTTGAAAAACGATGGTGGAAAAGATTTTGTACAAAAAATAATAGGTACAAATAATACAATTCTTTAAAGCCTGACAAAATCAAATCAATGACATGACATTTTAATCATGTTCCAGACCCTGATATGTATGATTATAAGCATTTAATTAAAAGAGTATTTTATTTTGTTAAAAGTTATCTATCAATTATCAAAAATTAATCACCTTTTATATTTTAATTTTCATATTTTATGTGTCAAGATTGATCAAAAATTACATCAATGAGTTCAGTCAAATTATTTATTCGTTTGCAGTTTTGAAAGACAAATGCTTTAACATGTAATGTAGCTTTTATGGAACGCGATGTCACGACGAACCAGAGACAAAAATAAACATTTTTTACTGCCAGTATGCTCCATTCCATTACACTTTAGTTATATCGGCAATTACTTTTGTAAATTAATATCGTTTAATAAACTAGAATTTGTTTTCAAATGAAATCTATCACAAAAATTATTTCAGAACTGAATAGGTACGAAAATGAAACCTCTTGAATCTTAGTCATCTAATTATATAGATCATTAACCATAGACCCATAGATGAAACACCTCTGGCAAAGGCAATATTTTGGCCGTTTGGCGGGAAAGGAATGCAGGTTATAGGTCTTCATACCCTGTAAAATACAGTCGGAAGGTCCCACTGACTGTACTATAGTTTACAATGATTACTTGTGTGTGCCACAATATCAAGACCAATCGTAATTACAAGCGAGTCAACTAAGTAGTATACATATATTATTACTAATAGGTATTGTTTTTGGAAAGTGGATATGGACTGGTATTGATGAATTTTATTGATAATGACGATGAATGAAATTATGATAAATAAAAATTATTACTATTATCATGAATACATGACGTATGTTTTGTTCTGCTAATGTGACTGTTGTAGGATAGTTGCAAGCGTGAAGTGGACCGTGCAAAGTTCAACATTCATATGAAATAATGCAATTTAGACAATAGATATTTACCTAAAGACCTACTTAAACTTTGTTTCAATATGTGCTCAATCCACAAAATATTATGTATGAACATAACTATCCAACGGAACCATTAATAAACTAAGAACTTTGTTTAGGTTGTCTTTCTAACTTTCTAAACTTTTTCTTAGCCTGACTAAATACTTATCATCAGTTCTTTGGTTTAACACTCTATCTGTCTACGATTACAATAAAGAACCCTGCGCTATAAAGGCTGAACTGGGCACCTATTTATGTAACTAGGTACCCAGAAAAGGTGTTCGACTTGATTTGAATACAGTCGTCGCATCGTGCCGGCGCGCATCAAAATGTTTTCTAAAAAAAATGTGTGGCAAGCCTTAAATAGTACCTATGCGTGAATTATATAAACTTGAAAATATAAAATATGCTCGTATACAAAATAATCTTAACTCCTTTACGTTAAAGTTTAAGTTTGATTACCAACTGTATAATTTATAACAGAACTGATTTGTGCTGTACTAGAAATATACTCTATACTAGAGGTATAAAGTTTATTTTGGAATAGGTGATATTTGTAGCGATAAAAGCAGTTTTCGCGGAGCTCGAGTGAGCGGAGTAGACGCAGCTGCCCCGCCCTCCCCGCGCCCCGCGCCGCAGCTCTCCGCGCGCCTCGCACGCCCCGCGCGTGTCGCGATACCAAAGATTAAACGAATACCTAGAGCGACCACTTCGTTATATCTACTTTGCCTATAATTTTCTTTCTTCAGATATGAAGTTACACATTTTTATTACTTATTTTACATGAATTAGATGTTTTAGAGGAACATTTTATTTATAAAGAATGTACCTAATCAGAGCAGAATTTAAAATGGATAACTTTGATACATATTCTTTCATCTAATGGTGCTGTTAAAGGACTTCCTACCCACCTGCCCACGCACCGCCGTGCCCTCAGGGATGTGATCGTCGAAGGCGACCTCTCGCGTCCGGCCCTATTCCGGGCCATGATGCAGAACGAGGAAGACTGGGATGCCGTCTTCTCCTTTTGCGACGCAGTCATGTAAGCTGCTAGCGTGTAAAGGAGCGAAGCGCTGCTTCCTCACAAATCAGCCGTCGCGAAAGGACACTTCGGGCGTCGGGGATCTCGAGGCGATCTCCGGCCATTGTAAGCACGGGCCTGCGGACGGCGAGCATAGGATGGCATACATACAAAGCTGCACCAAAACTAAAACCCTGGGCTAACACCATCATGCAAAACCTACCGTGTATGATTTCCACCCACATGACAAAGAAATCTTGACAAAATCATGCGACAATCTCAATCCGCGGTCATTGTATTGTTACTGATGAAATCAGTAGTCAGCCATGAGTCATTACTAGATACTAATGCATTCTTTTATTGAAATTATTAAATAGGTAATAGTCAAAATAGCCATCCCTACATTGACGTCTATATTACAATGTTACGTTTTTGTACCTAACATTTTACATGACTGTGACAGTCGGTTTTATTGCAACATAAGACATGCACCTAATATTATTGTTATAAGAATTTTGTTGGAGAGGTAAAAACTAAAAACTCAAACATGTAAATATTAATTTTATATGTATTATTAAATAAAGTGAACATAACCAAAATATAGGTATAATTTAGGTACACAATGTTATTGCTATTTAGAAATTTTGTACCTATAAATATTTAATTAACAAATAATGACAAAACTATTCAGCAATATTAATAGATACTTAAACTTAAATAACTCAAGTATGAATAAATATAAACTAAAACTAATAGGTATATTTACACTTAAAAAAATGATACCTTAGGTTTAGGGCATCAAAAAATAAAATTATTCTCATCGCTATCGTAAGTCGTAAGATAGGGTGCCCAAAAGACTGGCAGCATTGCCACGTTGAATAGCAATGCTTAACCTTTGCCCAAGGTAGTAGCTAACCCTTCGATCACCCGAAGTGTCAACTATCCTCCTTTCAAATTTACAATATCCTATTAAAGAAAATGTACACTTGGGTTCCACGGCCCTAAAGTTTCAACCCTAAACGGTTCGAAAGCATAATTGCCAATCAGGCTTACTACTTGCTTAATTAGGTATACTTTCGCTGTTTGAGGTTTTCCGCAGCAGCAGCGGCAGCGCCGGCTCGACATGCTGAGTTTGGAAGATGGGATGGCGCTAAAGTATCAACGCAAGTGGCGTCCCACACGAAAGGCCTACCCATCTTCTAAGGGAATAATGAAATATCGTCGGGTCGGGTCTCTTGCCATCGTCGCGTACCAAGACATTAGGTTCTAAAGTAGCTGGCACGCCAACGGAGACAAGAGCTAGACAAATTTTGTCATTAATACTTTCGTGTCCAGTCAATCAAATTAACCAGTGATTGTGAAAGAATTTTCCTGGTTAATTCTTCAGTACCATGGGCGGAAGATATATTATGAAAGCCCGGCTTACATACCTATAAATTAATTTTAAAACTCGACCCAGAAACATATAATTCAATTTAGATTTAATAAACAATACCTATCTGTTCAAGTTTGTTATTATAGATCATGCACTTCGAATATATTACCATTCACAGGTAGGTAGTGTGTAGAGTACCTAATGTATTATATACTAACTGTACCTACAAAGTTTTATGAAAAGATGTGAAATAAAATATTGAAGACTAGCGGCCCGTCCCGGCTTCGCACGGGGGGACTTAAGATTTTTTACATAGTTTTACGTTTTATTTATATTTATTCTCAGTTTTTTTTTATTTAGGAAGTATTTACCTTTTGAAAATATTTTTCCGGACTTCATTTACTTATTTCATTTATTTATGAACAATTCATCTATAGAGCATTTTTGTATAACTTTAACTATATGCTCAGCGCACGCCACGGAAGGCCTCAGAAACGATACTTTTCCCCCGTTTTTAAAACATTTTTGGTTACTGCTCCACAACTATAGGACCTAGCGTGATATTATATAGCCTATGTTACTTCTGAATAATGCAGCTTTCTAATGGTGAAAAAATTATTGCAATCGGTCCAGTAGTTTTTGAGTTTATTCATTACAAACATACAAAAATACAAAAATACAAATCTTTCCTCTTTATAATATTAGTATAGAAGTATAGATGTCATTCGATATAAAATTCAACACGGATACAAATTGTTTACCTAATTAACTATCTATTGATTATAATCTATGAGACAGGCGGTCCGCGGCTCGCGCCGCCATTCTGGATATTTTGACGGGAAGGTCGGTCACGTGACTCGACGGCGGGCGCGGGCGCGGGTCGCGGGGCGCCGGCTAGACTCTCCAGTAGCCGAGCCATCCGTCTGCTGCTTTGACTGCGGCCGGTCGCGGGAATCCACGCCCCAGTCTCACGCGTCCGTATCTATTACGTACCATTTTGTTCTATTGAGACCGGTATTTTATGAATGCAATTTATCAATACAAAAAGGATTTTGCGATTGCAGTGCGTGCAGTACCAATTTTTTAGTAAGAGGTGCGTTTGTTTTGTGTCAAACTGAGGTTATTTGCGTATTTTTTGCACGGGTGTGCGTGCGGCGACGGGGCGGAGACGCCGACATTGAGCAGAGTGTGCTCGGCCGGGCCGTCGCGACGGCATACTCGGCTCGGCAGACATGTTTCGGTCGCGGCCGGAGCGCGTCGTGCGTGCAGGCGCGTAGGGTCGCTCGTGACATGCGCCTGCGGAGCCGCAACGACAGTGGAGGTGATCGAACATGGATGTAGTGACGCCGCATATCACCTCCGTGCTGAAGACATACCAGGCGAGCGCGCCGCGCAGCCTGCAGGGCCCGGGCTGCGGGCGCGCCGAGCCTTGCGGCGACGCGCCGCCGCCGCCACCGCCGCCCGCCGCTCCGCCGATCCTGCTCGCCGCCGACACCGTGCTGGGCGAGCGAGGCGAGACACTGCTAGAGGGCGAACCCATCTCATGCTTCAGCGTGGGTGGCGAGCGGCGGCTATGCTTGCCACAGATCTTAACTTCGGTGCTGACGGACTTCACGTTAGAACAAATCAACCGCGTGTGCGACGAACTGCAGATCTACTGTTCTCGGTGCACGCCTGAGCAGCTGCATGAGTTGAAGTCGACGGGGGTGCTGCCCAAGTCAGCACCATCGTGCGGCCTCATCACTCAGACGGACGCGGAGCGGCTGTGCGCGGCACTGCTGCACGCGCCAGCCGCCTCGCGCCCGCACAAGTTGCCGGGCTTCCGGGTCTACCACGAGTGCTTCGGCGGCGCGCGCGGCGTCTGCGCCGTCGACCTCAACTTAGTGCAGTGTTTGGAATGTCGATCTCTATACACTCCTCGCCGCTTCGTGTGTCATTCGCACGAGTCGGAGCACCGCACTTGCCATTGGGGCTTTGACTCGTCGCGATGGCGACGCTTCCTGCTGGTGGCCGAGGAGGAGTTAGACAAGGAGAAGTGTGGCGCGCTGCTGGACGAGCTGGCCGCGCGGGATGTGGCGCCAGCTCCCGCGCTTCCTCCAGTACCGCTCAAACAGCAGAGTTTACCGTTGAAAAGAAAACAGGTAAGATTATCCTATTTGCACTTATATTATATCTACACAAGTCACTGAATTTATATTGGTTCTTATTGGAATCTTACTGGAATCAAACTTTAGTTACGTTTTCCATTGATAAAACATTAGGTAGGTACTTACCTACCTACCTGAAGCCCCATTATTGTCATTCAGATCAATCAAAAGAATCAACTTCAAGATAGCTAATCCGCAATAAGTATAATAAACCCTATTTACTTTAGAACAGAACCTAACAAAGGATATCCAACCTCTCGAAAGCACTAATAATTTAGCTGCACTGCACCGTCCATTTAGATGACGGCACATTTCCGCATCCATTGTGCTTAAACCCACTGATTATCATCACAGATACGTTCTGTGGCCATGTATTAACGAGATAAATAGTGTTATCAGGCCGGCCAGTGTCACACGAACATGTGCAAGTGAATACCTACTCATTGTTAGCTAAATGACGTATTGTAACCGCAAAATAATTATGCAATGTGCACGATAAATGTGTTATAGATGTTGATTGTTATAAAGCACATATATTATTCATGGGCTGGACAGAGGAAGGGATTTCTCTTTAACACGATGGAGTTGCTAACGCCAATGACAATTTAATGTCTGCTGCCAATCAATAAACGTATTGATAGCGCACGAAGTAAATTCGACGATTTAAGAGAAATTAATCGTATCGAGAACCAGCTGCTGCCCCGCTGCCGTTTATCGGCAAACGATTGTTTATATTTTATGTGTTTGTATTTTTGAGTCTGCGAAACTGTTATTTGTTTAGTCTGCTAACTCCAATCGTTATGTAAGGTCACTGCGCCTGCGACTTCTGGCTGACTTCTTGCCCTACTAGCTTTACAGCTTTGTTTATTAATATCTAAGATAAACACGATACCTACTACTATCCAGTGTAAATATTGTGCAAGTAATTATGCGAGCCGATGTAAGTGAATATTATTAAATATTAAACAAGTAACATCGGACCCGTGTAGTACTGAAAATGGATATTTTCATAATATTGTATTCTCTAATTATCTGTATTCACTAACTCGTAATACTTTTACCTTATTACGTCAAGATACACGTGTTACTGGTTCTGCGGTAGGTACTTAATATAAATTAATAATGAATGAACGGTTTTCATGTGTGCCTGCATGCCTATACAAAACACAATGTGAGCTGATTTCCACGTGATCGTCTGATCGATCCTAAACAAAGCGATGACCAATCAATACCTACTCACAGACGTCTCCTAACATGGTAGACCTTGCTATTAATATGATTGACTAGAATTATCCTTCCTGATGCACCGGCGTGACCTAGTTCCTATGTAGAGCAAGTTAACGAATGTGCTACATTCCAGCCAGACTGAAATCGACCACGACCTTTGCCCAAATTGAGATAAAATACAAATGTTAACTAACCATGATTATGCTGTTTTGATCCTCAATCATTCACCGCCATAATATTTTGTCTGAATAAACTTTATTTAATATAACATTATCACAGGATTTGCAAAAACAACTTTATCAGTTGTCAGATAAAAATACATATTATATTATGTACCTATGAGGCGCTAGATAGTTGGTTTATAGTGTTTACTAAGTTGTAATTGGCTAGACTCGGGTGGGTTTTTGTAAACTGCGCAATGTTTTGATAGGTTAATAGAAGCGTAGTTCTAATTTATTAGATTACTAAATAACTCACTAACGAAATAGCTGGTATTTCCAGAAGTATTTTATTTAAAAACATCTTATTTTGCAAAAACGACTAAATAGAAGATATAATAAATAGTTTATATTAAAATAGAGACTACTACGACTAGTCATACCGAGAACCAACGACAAAAAGAGACAGATAAAATTCGCATTGTTCCGGCTTAATTAACTAATTTGTTAATAAGTTGGGTGTTTCCAATTACGTAAGAATTCTAATATATTTTTGTTAGATATATAAAATAGAGGCCGTTGCAGATAGCTTTACATCTGTAGGTAATTTTGAAATATGGTGTACGTATTATGCACTAGATTGGGACTGGAATCACCTCTACACACATTCATGTCTACAATTAACGTCTCATCTTTTATAAGTACAAAAATACGTGTATTACTTATCATAATTATTTCTTGAAATTGTAAGTACTGTCGTCGGTAATAACTAAATAGAGTAATTAGGTATCTATAATTAGGAATTACCTACCCATGTAGATAGGATTACAGATCATAAGCTCTCACATTGTTTTCGATATGGTTCCACATATGTGTTACCTGAGTATCATACATATTTTGTCTTCATCAGCATCGTATCAGCCGTAAGACATCGCAGCTGACTGTAGACCTCTGTCAATTACTTAAACCATCCAAGTTCTGTCTTATTCGAGTATATTTACAAACACACAGCTTCGGGAAGTGGTAAGATGTTTGAACCAGTTGAATCACTTGAACAGGGTGTTGTGTTACATAAATTGCTCAATTTAAAGATGGCGATCAGCTCATCTGTTAGACAGTAACCTGTTTAAGGTTTATTACTGACATTGCAGCTGAGTTTTAAGTCTCTGGATCATATAGCAACATGGATCAAATATCAGATGGAGATAGCCACAAACTCTGTACGTAATCTTTTATGATAATCATAATGATCATGTGTATGGCGAATGGAAATATCAATAATAATATGTGGGTTTTAGAAATCCTGCAAATTCCAGGCTTATAATTATTTATTTAATTCTTAATAACCCAACGAATTTCAAGTAAATTAACGTCTACGTCATGAAATATGCTGTTTATCTGTAATCGCTACCAGATACAGATAACTTAAAACCTATAATTTCCTCGATCCAAAACCGATACACCATTGATATTACGGTAGCAAATTACGATTCGATCGCTTCCATCAACGATACAAAAACGAGTTACGGTTATCTTAAGTGGCTGTAACTGCGCTGCACGTAGCCAAGCAGACATGGCGGAGTTACCATTATACTAAATAGGTACATACGTAATGGAGCGCCTAAGGGCTACACAAAACACGTGTATTAAAACTAGGGGATACATATTATTACCACAAAAATGCCTCGGTAATGACGTTCCCTTAGATTAAGCCATTTTATTTAAAACAATGTATTCTTACTGCATAGCTAGATAGGTATTATGTGTTCACCATATCAATTTATTGATGGCATGCATTAACCAGAGCTTTTAAACAACTGTCCTTTGTAAAATTGATCCCCTTGGTCGAAAGCTTCACCCCTGGGGATCTACAATACATTATCAAGAGTCGTGCTAAACAATGGCGGTCTCGTTTTACACACCGTCTGCGTTCCACTCAGGCGCAGGGTGTAATTATGCGAGCGTGTCATGCGCAGCTCATAAACGACGCATGAGCGCATTATCTTTCAAGTAATATTAGCCAGTGCTGCTTGGTAGTGTTCACTGCAATTTTGACGTCAGGAACAAAAGATTTTAAATAGGGTGTCTGGTGCCCCGTGTGCACATTTGTGCCCAAATTAGTTGAGGTCTTTGTAACTATATGGTCTATCAGAAAATTAATCAGGGTATTGCTTCTTAGTTGCATCTAATATTAGGCTGTTCGTTCATTGGTTTCAAGAGAACTATTCGAATGGTTCAATGTTCTATTGAGGAACACATCCCGCGCCATTATTCTTCGGTCCCACATACCTTTCATTGTAGCAAAGGCGGGTGTGGCCCGCAATCAGTGCTAAACCTCACCTCCAACCATTTGTAATAATTTAGGCAAATTGTAGTTTCCCCCTCGCTCTACCTGCAATAAATATACCCGTAATGCTTCGTATTAAACGTATGGATATAATAGATGGTTAAACTCCTTATATTTCCAAAAAATATACTACAATATTAACGTAGTTCTCATTACGGACGGACGTTTGCGACAATCCGCACGTACTAAGCTCCGCGGTTACTACAGTTGAGTAATTGACCAATCTGATGATCTCTATTTCCCAGAAATTTATGATTATGTTTCGTTTTAGTCATAGAAGGGCCCACGCTCACATTAATTTAGCTCTAATACACTTTTATTTAACAACTTTTCGTTCAACTACATTAAGTGAAAATGGGTGTCTCAGTATGGAAAAACTAACAACAATAGTCATATTGTCTTGCTTTGAATTACATTTGAAACCCGATTCCAAGTAAACCAGAGTCATTAATTCTACGCGCTTTACGCTTTGAATTGGACAAGAAACAGAAAATAATCAAACTGAACAGAAGGGTTACTTCTTACAAGCTTCTAACAAAATTTATTGTTGGATAAAAAAGCAATGCACATAACCTGTTTCTAACCACCTTGCAAGCTTTGTATATCTTTGGTTGGGTGTATACGTACGTAAGATAGTTGTAGACCTTCTGTAGCTATGCGTTGTATAGGTTGGTAGCGAGTTACAAAGTATTCTGAATGTCATGCGAAGTGAACGGAGCCGCGCCTGCCGCGAGCGCCAATCGCAGCCCGTGGCCGCCTCACCTCACCTACCATGATTACTTGGTCAATGTTCTGCGATCTGCATTCTTTAATTAGCGGGTTGGATGAACGGTTCTTGATTAAGCTTCCATCTTCATTAACGCTAACGTATTCCTTTTTATCACGCCTCAACTAGCGAACACGCGCTATTCCGAAGTTTACATCGTTTCCGAGAAAGGCCGCAATAAATTAACTTAACAAATGGAGGGTTTTTTGATCAGGAATTCATTGTTTTGTTATTGTGAGAAATAAGGAATTTAAGGTCAGACTGGAGTAAGATGGAATTAAATTAATAGAACGTCTAATTAATTAGTGTTTAGGTTCAGGCAGACCCTGATTTTCCGAACGGTTGATTTATAAAAAGTTCGTACGACGTACAAAATTGTCGCCTAATCTTCAAATACCCCCGCAATGGTTGGATCTTTGTTCGTCGGCTTAGCTCGTAGAGTGGGCCTACAAGCGGTATTTTCCTGGATCCCTTAAAGGCGCGCGTGTAAGTAATC